TCCTGTAGGACCGTGTGGTCCTACAGGATACGATAGGACCACGTGGTCCTACAGGACACGATGAGTCATTTGTTATAGGAACACCTCTTCTTTATTCAGTCGTGTCCTGGATTCAGCCTGTTCTTGTTTCCACGGCCCCCTGGGAACCGTTACTCTGCTCCACTTCCTACTGGCTCATGTTCCACTTAGTCCCCCCAGGACGAGCACCTTGTCTTTCACCTTGAGCTTTTCTTGCTGCATGTATCGCACACCTTGTTTCCTCAAACACACACAGAAGCAACTAGAAGCAGCTGAGGATGCAGAGCAGAGGCAGATGTTTGAAGTCAGAAGTGGAAGCAAAGACGAAGACAGAAACATTTACCCCAGAGTCCATGGAACTAACGGACTCAAAGGAGCCAAACACAGAACAGAAAACAGTAAAAATCTCTAACGAGCAACAAACGCGTCCGTTTCTTCATCCCGGCTCATCATTTATGACGAGGATCTAAAGGCAGCCCCGAGTGCCGGGTCAGTTCTGCTCGGTTCTGTCTGGACGGCTGAAGAAACGAGACGAGCACAGAAAGACGAGGTCCGTGTACTCACTGGTGAGCGCCTTCTCGTAGCTCTTCGCCATGGCCACGAAGTTGCGTAAGCACGGGTTGAACTGCTCCATGATGTTCTGGAAGGAAGAGGAAGAAGTCAAAATGAGTGGAGCAGCAGACTCGTTACACAGACAGAGACGGAGCGCCGCTCCTTTCTGGGTCAGAACCAGCTGAGCCAACCGGGACGAAGAGGAGAGGACCGGCTCCATCTCCCTACACTGATGACAGAACAGGATTTACAGGGGGGTCATGTGTGCACGTGAGGGGGTCTGCTTCTTCACACCTCCCCTGCTGTATGAATTTAAAATAAAACCTGATTTTGGCTCCAGACCTGGAGCTCAGCAGGAAACTTGGACCTGAAGCCACTTCCTGCCGTCTCTCTGAACCTCGGCCCGCAGCTCCTGCCAGTTCCTATTTTTACCGGAGTAAATTCACCGGAAAACAAACAATATCCGTCTGAAAATCTTTAAACCTCAGGAGTTGCTACGTCAAAGTTTGGTCCAAATGTGTTTCTGGGGTGACTCTAAGCTTCTACCACGTCAAATTTGAACCTGATGTCTGTAAATATGACAGAGGTGTAACCATTGTTGTTAGCTGTGGTGGCCATCTTGAAAGGGTCTGACAACAAAATATAAACTTTAAAGATGTTCACACGATGATTACATTCTAAGAGTTTTATGTACATTTGTCAACAGGAGTATTTCACTAACGGTACGGACACACAAACACATGCACACATGGTCGCTCTGCCTTGTCTGGCAACAAAAAGAAAAGCTGAACAGCCGAAGAGTCGGGATCCTGAGACTGACGGGAGCTGAGTAAGAGACGAGAAGAAGTCGTGACAGGACGAATACAACGGAGCGGAGCTGCTCGAGAACACCGACGCCATCCAGAGCGAGCCCACCGAGGTGTTTACAGCAACACACGAATCTGTCATGTCAAATGTCCAGGTGTGGTCAGCACCTGAGCAAACAACGAGCCGAGGCCCGACGGCTGCAAGTCATCAGGCAGGAGGAAACCTCCTCCTCCTCTTCATCACGCTACACACTGCCCTGTTGCTCCTGCAGCACTTCAAACTCAACGTTATCTTTTCTGAGACTCTCTTTGACAACATTAAATGTTTATTTTATATAAGACATGATAGAAAAATGCTGCGAGAAGCAGGAAGAAAGTTCAAAACTCTTAAAAATCAGGACGCTGAAGCTGCTAAATGCATTAAAATCATCTACAAGTGAAGCCGTTTGTAAAAACCTGCTTCATCCTGGGCAAGATCCGGCTGAAAGAAACGAATCCAAACGCTCCAATTCATCGTCTTCGGTGGAAATTATTAAATAAATGTGTAATTTGGGGTTTGGGTGAGTAAAGTGTAGTTTCTCCAGGAGTGCTGCAGGACGAGCACCAAGGAGGTTGTGAGATGACCTGCCGACGCCCGGCGGCTCTCACAGGTGCACAAACTTCACCCTGACTTCAGGAAGTAGAACAACTCAGGTGGTAAATAAAATACAAGCACAAGTTTAAAAAGTTAAGAACTGCATAAACAAATAAACGTTTGAGAAAAGTTGGATCATTTCTGGATTCATGATTATTGTAAACCCACGCAGGATCAGCAGAGAGCTCTGAAAACGCTGCTTGGCCACAAAGAAGTCAAACGTGCACAAAAGTGAAGACCTGGCCACTCGCTCTTCCTTCCTGCATGGCCCAGTTTAAGTGGAAACGCTCCAGTGCAGGGCCCAGTTTAAGTGGAAACGCTCCAGGGCACGGCCCAGTTTAAGTGGAAACGCTCCAGTGCACGGTCCAGTTTAAGTGGAAACGCTCCAGGGCACGGCCCAGTTTAAGCGGAAACGCTCCAGTGCACGGTCCAGTTTAAGCGGAAACGCTCCAGGGCACGGCCCAGTTTAAGTGGAAACGCTCCAGGGCACGGCCCAGTTTAAATGGAAACGCTCCAGTGCACGGTCCAGTTCAAGTGGAAACGCTCCAGTGCACGGCCCAGTTTAAGCGGAAACGCTCCAGTGCACGGTCCAGTTTAAGTGGAAACGCTCCAGTGCACGGCCCAGTTTAAGTGGAAACGCTCCAGTGCACGGCCCA